TACACAAAGCCAACGTCAGGCTGAGGGACAAAGGGGGATCTCCACAGTCCCTTAATGCAACCACTGTGCAAAGCTGCCCATTATAAAGCTGAGCGGGTTTCTCCTGCATCTCCATCTGCTTTCTGCAACTTCACAGATCCCTCCTCATCCATCACACATCTCTCCTCATCCCTGGAGATTCTTCTTCTCTTTCTCTCTGCTAATGAAGATTGATTACCTTGTTCCCTACAGGCCTTTCCTTCCCCATCTCTCCCTCTGCACTTCAACAAGACCCAACATTCCATTCATCACCCATTCAGAGCTCCTGGCAGCATCTACCCTAACTCCCAGACTTTGTTCTTTTATGCTCCCATCCAAGATTATCCCATCTACAGAGCTGGCCCCAGAGCTGATCCTAACAGTCATGCAATGCTTTGGTGCCACCATTATCTCCTGGTGTCTCCTGGGGTTATTGAGGAGAAGGGGTGGTCTCAAATAGGGGTTAGCATGTGTTAGCTGGGCTTGTTTTCCTGACAGTTGTTTTAACAGGCACCAGGTGCTTCCTGAGCAGCACAAGAGCTCGACTCCCTTGTGTTGTAGGGCTTTCACCATCCGCCTTGAGGGAAACAAACTGCTTCTTCGTGAGACAATTTTACAGTGAGGTGCTGGTTCGATGCAGGTTATAATCAATTGGCAAGCATTTTTCATAGCTGATGGGTGAGCCTGATCCTGATCCCAGTTGAACCAGGGGCTGGTCAATAAGTCAAGAGCTCCAACTCTACTAATTTTGTGAAAATTCATGGGGTTTTGGACCAGGACCAGGCTCACCAACCAGCCTGAGGACATACCAAACACATGTGGGATGCTTGGGGAAAGCTCTACAGAGCCACTTGTCACAGGGCAAATTCCAACTTGGGGGTGGCATTTTGTTGTCATGCAGCAGCCGATTGCTCTGACAGCTTTGCAATGATGCTTTTTCTCTACTTCCAGGACCTCTGAAAAAAACACTGGTGCTACAGATCAAGAACCAAGTACCTTAGTGCAGGACCAACCCACATGAAGTTGAGCACTTTCTTCTGAGCAGCAGTTGGAGCAAACTTATAGTCTGCATGAAATGTGTATCTTCTGGCTGGCATACAATAAAGCTGATGATCAGAGTTGAATGACGATTTCTCTTGTCTCTCAAGCGCTGAGAAGTTATTGTCACCAGGTTCTGTGTAATGCAGTTAGCATGTCTGTGCCTTCATTTATATTCAGTAAAGTCAGAGAAAGAAAAATGGGTCCAATTCTCCCTTTATTCATCGCTGTGGAATGGCAATAGTTTCCTTGGTCTCTCTAGTTTACATGGGCAGCAGAGCAGATTCACTTCAATAATTCATGGAAGTTTCATATTGGATTTCAAAGATTATCCCAGAAGCCTAGTTGATAACATCAGCAGTTCTTTTCAAAAATCTTTAGAAGATTGAATGCACTATAAAATCTTAACTGCTGTCAGGAACTCACATTTGGATCTCACCAGGTGAAGCACACCCTGTGCAACATCTGGCAGATCCCCTTGTCATTGGGTTGTAGCCAAGAATGTCTCAAGCCTTTTTCTGATACTATTAACATTTGATTTGTTCAATTTACCATTTAGGGCAAAGGTTGGACAAGACAACAACAACTTGTTAGTAAATAAGTGGGTTTTCTCAGTATTTTTTCTAAAAATGTTTCATTGAAAAAGTTATAAACTGGAAATGTTGTAGGAGGAATGCAATTGGTTCATGAGATTAGCAGGTCTGATTTTTCTGTATGCCCATCTTTTCTGGGTGAGGCTCCTTATGCCCATAAGACGTATGCAGCACATGATGGAGATGTAGTCCAACCCTACTGCCTGTCCCCTATAGATGACTAAGTGCATGAAGTACCCAGACTGCCGTTCCAACAAGGCACTGGCTCAGCACACTCCAATAAATACTTCGAGACTTATGCTGAGGTGTTATAAAACTTAGAGCTGGGATTTGCTTTACTTTCAGCAAGTTCTAATTTTAAGCAGAAGGCTGCTCTTCCTTCACAAATTAATTGCACAAGGCAGCTATTTCGTCAGAGGTGGGGAGAGCTGGGCAGCTTCCACAGAACATGGCAGCTCCAAAACTCTCCAGAATCAGAGGGTTTGGTTTGCTGGGTCTAGTTCAGAAGGAAACTGCCTTGGGCTTGGAGAAGTCATTCAAATATTTCAGAGTGAAAATGCAAATCCATGATACACCTCCTCCTGTATAAGTACCACTCCTATATGGACTCCCTTTCTGTGCAGGAGTAAATCAAGAGTGATTCCAGCCATGGCTGGACCAACTTTAAAATGAGTGAATGTTTTAGGAAATCCAATCTCCTTCACTTGCAAAAGCCCTTGGGTACTACAGCTATTTGCTCTTCATATTGTACTACTACTAAGGCACCCTGTGACGGCCAAAATCCCAAGGGTGCCAAGAGATGTACAGACATGGGACAAAAACACCCATCCAAAGGACTTTGAAGGCAAAGCAGGAACCTAAAATTGCCTCAAACTCCTTGATTTTATGTTTAGATTGGATATTAGGAAAAATTTCTTCACCAAAAGCGTTGTCCAGCACTGGAACATGCTGCCCAGGGCAGTGGTGGAGTCACCATCCCTGGAGGTATTTAAAAGACACGTAGATGTGGTGCTTAGGGACATGGTTTAGATGTGGACTTGGCAGTGTTTGGTTTGTGGTGGGACTCGATGATCTTAAAAGTCTTTTCCAATCAAAAGTATTCTATGTTCACATTGTGGCGAGTTATCTTTGGCAACAGGAAGGTTGGAAAGAACCTCCTTGTTCAATGGATAAAATACAGAGAAATATTTGTAGCGACAGCATTTGTACAAGCCAAGAAGAAATTAGAGTAAATCCCATCACTGAACCATTGCAAAGCACCTCTGAGAAGATGTGAATAGTAGCTAATGAAATATTCAATACAAAGGGAAGTAGATTACATGCTTGTGGATAATTGCACTGAGCGTGTGCCTCGCTCAGTAGCTGAAGGGTCCTTGTTACACATGATTATTATTAATTAACTTTTTTTGTGCATAATTACCATGATTGCACAATTATTAGAGAGGAGCCCAGTCCAAAGCTCCAGCATCAGACATCAGTGGCCTGCAGGAGCTTTTGCTCCAGATCCCTGGAGCTGCTGGTGTCCCAGGGAAGCAGGACATGGCAGTGGTCTGCTTCTTGCTCTCTGATGTCTCAGTGCCCACCGCTTGTCTCTGAATCAGATGCACTCGAGGAAGAAAAGGCACCATAGATCCAGTCAACCAATGGTATTATCTATATGCAATTATTTGTAGTAACCAAGACATCTATGGTGGAAAATATAACAAAAAAGGTTGTTCTCCCACTGGTATCTGATCTTCAGGGAGCTGTCTTGAAGAGGCAGAAAACCCAGCCCTAGTATTCACCAAAATACAGACTTTCTTTTCCTGCCTCTTCAGCTCCCTAAAGCATCTTGGCACAACGTGAGAGCAGGAATAAATGGCTAGCAAGTTTAATTTCACCAGTGGAAACTGTGGGGAAATGCATCCGGAGTAGGAAGGTGAAATTTTACAGAGGTTTTGAAATGGCAGAGTTGATTTAAATGTTGACCCAAATGATGGCAGAAGATGCCTATTTTAGAAAACATTTATGTAACTCATAAATAACCACATCAGACTGGGTACGATATTTCAGACTGATAAAAAAAGTTATAATTCAGATTTCATTTCATATAGAAATGCAATGTTCTGATTTAACTCAGCAACTCTCTCCCCCTTCTCACACCAAAATTTTCATTTCACCACGAGCTGGAATATTTACTATTTATTAAGAAAAAATAACAATTTCTGTATGCTGCCATACTCTGTTCTCTGTTGTTAATATTTCCCTTCCCTTCCTCCTAGTGTCAACTGCCATCCTCAGACTCTTGCTTCCTTCCACTTCTCTTTCCATTTAGCTTTTCTTCCCCTACATAATCACGAGAATGGAGCCAGGCTCTTCTCAGTGATGCCCAATGGTAGGACAAGGGGTAAGGGGTGTGAGCTGGAACACAGAAGGTTCCACTTAAATTTCAGAAGGAACTTCTTTACAGTGAGGGTGACAGAGCCCTGGGACAGGCTGCCCAGGGAGGGTGTGGAGTCTCCTTCTCTGGAGACATCCAAGACCCGCCTGGACGCCTTCCTGTGTGATCTCATTTAGGTTCCTGCTCCAGCAGGGGGATTGGACTGGATGATCTTTCGAGGTCCCTTCCAATCCCTGACATTCTGTGATTCTGTGTGATAATACATCCCACTTGGGTTCCTCCTACTCTCAAAAATAATCAAGTTACCAATTGTTGTATTTCACACCCAGCATATTGTATATAATTTCCTGTGGTGCTTCTCTTTTTAGATTGCACAGTATTTGTGACTGGGAGTTTCCCTTATTTTGTGCTACTCGTTGCTCTGTCTGACTTTCACTTATCCTGAGGTATTATTAATCACAGACGTGATTAATTGGAATTATCCTCCCACCAGCAAGACTAATTCGATGCAGCTGAATTTTGCATGACTTCTTTTATCTGTAGTGTACTTGGTACATCCTTACAACCTTGGCTGTTCTTTGGATCAGCAGTGGTGCAAATCTGTAAAGCTGAGAAGGGAATCACCCAGGCAAGGCTAAAATAAGAGCAACACAGGAGAGCAGAAATTAGAGCATGGAAATAAAATATTTCCAGGTGAGAAATTAAATGCAATGGAGAGAAATAGAAGCAAGAGGCAAAGATTTCTGTTCCCTGTTTCAGGAGCTGGGTAATAAAATTGGTCAAGAGAGGACATATTCCCTAAAGAAATGGAGCAGCAGTACTGGAAAAGGAAAGGAAATTATTCAGAAGGATATTTCAGACTGGATTTCACCCTTTGTACGTTCCAGGCTTCACAGATTTGAGGGCTTGTGCTGATTTTCAGGGAAATGCATGCCCAGAACTGAGGAGACATATGAAGTTCATAGGAGGTGCTTTGCCCACCAGCAGCACTGGCAGCCTGAAGGTTGATTAATGCTGCAACATTTCCTATCTTAGCCAGCTGAACATGAGCCAGCAGAGTGCTCAGGTGGCCAACAGCATCCTGGCCTGTATGAGGAATAGTGTGGCCAGTAGGAGCAGGGAAGTTCTCTTCCCCCTGTCCTGGGCACTGGTGAGGCCGCAACTCGAGTGCTGGGTTCAGTGTTGGGCCCCTGAGTCCAAGAAGGACATGGAGGTGCTGGAGCATGTCCAGAGAAGGGCAACGGAGCTGGGGAAGGGTCTGGAGCACAAGTGTGCTGAGTTCCCTTGTGGTTGAGGGAACTGGGGTTGTTGAGCCTGGAGCAAAGGAGGCTGAGGGGAGACCTTCTGTCTCTGTGCAAGTCCCTTGGAGGAGGGTGGAGAGAGGTGGGGGCCAGTCTCCTCTCTCAAGTAACAAGAGATAGAAAAAGAGGAAACAGCTTCACATTGTGCCAGGGGAGGCTTAGCTTGAATATTAGGAAAAACTTCTTCACCTCAAGGGTTGTCAAGCATCAGAAGGAGTTGCCCAGGGCAGTGGTGGAGTC